GACTGAATGTTTTCTACCTAAGATCAAAAACAAGGCAAGAATATCTGCTGTTACTACTTCTGTTCAAAATTATACCAATGGTCTAGCCAGTGCATTGATTCTGAAAAAAAATTGATTTTTTAAAGTCATCCAAATTGGAAAGAAGAATCAAAACTATCTTTATTTGTAGGTAACATGATTATCTGAGTAGAAAAATCTTATGGAATCTAAAAAATTCTACCCTAATATTGAAGTTGCAAAATCCTAGATTAATTTTTTTGAAACATGGTCTTACTCTGTTGCCCTGTCTCAGGACTGCAATGGAGTGGTGTGATCACTGCTCACTGCAGCCTCAACCTCCCAGGCTCAAGTGATCCTCCCACCTCAGCATCCCAAGTAGCTGGGACCACAGGTACATACTACCATGCACAGATAATATTTTCTTTTACAGAGATGGGATTCCCTATGTTGCCCAGGGCTACTCTTAAATTCTTGGGCTCAAGAGATCCTCCTGCCTGGGCCTCCCAAAATACTGGGATTACAGGCATGAACCACCACACCCTCTGACAAATACATAAATATTAATTTATTTCTCTATACTGACAGCAATCAGAAATTGAAATTAAATAATATATATAATAGCAACAAAAATATGAAATACTTCAGGATCAACCTGATGAAAGATATATAAAACCTGTACACTGAATAGTTAAAACTATTGCTGAAAAAAATTAAAGAAAACCTAAATAGAGGGAGAGATACTATATTTTATGGGTCAGAAGACTCAATATTATTGTCAATTCTCTCTAAATTGACCTATGGGTCCAAGGCTATTTCAGTCAAAATCCCAGTATGATTTTTTTTTTTTTTTTTTTTTTTTAGAAATTAACTTGATACTAGGAATTACATGTAAATGCCAAGTATTTACTGTAGTCAAAATATTTTTTTTTTGAGATGGAGTTTCACTTTTGTTGCCCATACTGGAGTGCAGTGGCATGATCTTAGCTCACCACAACCTCTACCTCCAGGGTTCAAGCAGTTCTCCTGTTTCAGCCTCCCAAATAGTTGGGATTACAGGCGCCCACCACCATGTCTGGCTAATTTTTTGTATTTTTAGTACACTGTGTTGGCCAGGCTGGTTCTTAACTCCTGATCTCAGGTGATCCACCCACTTCAGCCTCCCAAAGTGCTGGGATTACACCATGACAGACCCAAAATAACTTTTAAAAAGGATAACATTGGAATGTTAACACTGATTTCAATATTTATAATGCTACAGTAATCAAGATAGTATGCTATTGAAAGTCCAGAAGTAGACTCACACACATATATGGTCTGTTGATTTTCAGTGAATGTGCAAGGGCAATTTGCAAAGTATACTTTTTTCTGACGGATGGTACTGGAACTATTGGATATTCCAATGAAAACGATTGATCTCAATCCATACCTCACCCATAATACAAAAGTTAACTCGAAATAGGTAGACCTAGAAAACTTGGGAGAAAAATCTGTGTCTTTGGGCTAGGCAAAGAATCTTAAATAAATTAGAATCATAACTCATGAAAAATTGTTGCCTTGAACTTCCTCAAAATTGAGAACTTTTGATTTTCCAAAGACATTGTTAGAATAAAAAGATAAGTCATAGAGTGGGAGAAAATATTTAGACAGTGCATATCCCACGGTAAACTTTTATTCAGAATATATAAAACTTTTAAAATTTAATTCTAAAAAATTAACCCTATTTAAAAAATCGTTTTAACAGATATTTCACCAAAGGAGTATTGTAGCAAAAAGGCATATGGAAGATGCTCTGCATCATTATTCAATAGGGAATTACAATTTGAAACCACAGTTAGGTACCACTGCATATCTACTGGTATAGTTAAAATTCAAAACAAAACAAAAACTGAACATATCAAGTGTTGACACAGTTGGAGAGAAACTGGAACTCTTATATGCTATTGATGGGACTATAAAGTGATAGAACCTACTTTGAAAAATCGTTTGGCAGATTCTTAAAATTTTAAACACTTAAAAGCCGGGTACCTTTAAACGTTTTCAACCATTCTAAGCCTCAGTTTATTGATCTGAATTTCTGGCACAGAGTAACCATTCAATAAACAAGCATTTATATATGTTTATTCATTTGCTTGAGACTATATAGCTTTTATTTTCCTTAATAAAAGAGTATCATTAAAAAAATATTAAACACTTATGATATGATCCAGCCATTCCATTCCTAGGTATTTTCTCAAGAGAAATGGAAGCATGTGTCCACACACAGACTTTTATATGATTGTTCATACCAACATTATTCATAGTAACCAAACTATGAAAGCCAAATGACCATCAGCAAGGAATAGATATGCAGTGTATTCCATGCAATAGAATACTATCCACCAGTAAAAAGGAATGAACTCTTGATATGTACAACAGCATGAATAAATATCAAAATACCTATGCCAAGTGAAAGAAATCAGACTCACAAAAGTAAATACTGTATATTTCCTCTTACATAAAATTCTAGACATACAAACTAATCCAAATTATAGCAAGGAAATGAGTAGTTGCCTGTGGTCTCAGCAGAACACTTGTAGGCTGTGAATTAACATGATTATAATGATACTTTCACAAGTATATATATATGTCAAAACTTAACTATATATTTTAAATATATACAGTTCCCGAAACAAATAAAAGCTATGTACTTCTCTTCCATAGTGGAAAGTTAGTAAGATAATATTTAAAATGGAAAAATTAAGAAGTAAAAATATTAATGTATAACTGGGGGATATAAGGTTTAAATACCAAAGAACCAGCTAAACGTTGACAGCATTTGTTGTTGTTGTTTTTTTTGTTTGTTTGTTTGTTTGTTTGCTTGTTTTATAGAAAGCAGAAACTGGAACTGACATAAAGGATTTCTGGTTTTCATTTAAAAAAACATAGAAGTTTCCTCTTTAAACTATGTGCATATATCACTTCAGTGAAAAAAAAAAATACTGTATTTAAAAATAGGTAGAAAAAAAAGGGCTTAATTATAAGACAAATCTGTGCTAGTTTATTTATCTGTACAATTAATTTACCAAAGCACGAATAAGGGTGACTTCAGTTTATTCATGTTATGTATAAAATGTGGCTGAATTTTATTTACTAATTGAATGTTTTCCACTTTGCGTTGCTGTTATAGAGCTGCCAGAATAGTAAAAACCCAAAATATTTAGCCTGAAAGGAAGAACAAAATGATTCTCTTCTTTTAAAACTTGTTTTGTAAAGATTAATTAAGCTTCTGTGCAGTTATTTTCTGTACTTTATTGATTCAGGATTACTTGTACTCTGTAAATGTGTTGAATTATTTACACATCATGGGCAGCTAATGCTAATTTAGAACATACCCAGTGGGACCTCAGAGCCCTGAAATGCTAAATGTAATCTGGGGATCAGTAACATTCCATTCATAAAATGTGTCACCCACAGGTTAATGGAAATAAACAATAGGAAAGACAATGGATGGATTATGCAAATACCCTGAAAAGATTAAGCAGGGGGAGGGGACTACAAGAACTCAATTTGTGTTTTATTTAAACGTGGATTAAGGTTTATAGTATACAAAATGATTAAAGGTACTTTGCTAATTTGCTAATGCTCTTAAAAGCATCACTGCACAGGAGAAACTATCAAAATAAATTGGTTATGACTTTTTTTGTGCCTGTGGGTGTAGAGTAGCAGAGCACATAGCAGCAAGATTAAGAAAGAACATTTTTTAGCAGTAAATAAAATGATAAATGAAATATTCTGTTAAATAAAACTTGAGTGACTGGATTTATATAACATTTATTTGCATCTGTGTGAAACTAATGAAAGTTTCATGAATATAAAATTCAATCCTAATATAAATTAAACTGCTTTTGTTTTAAAAGGAGAAATCAGTCTCTTTTTTCTTTAAAAATTAGTTCTATAAAACAAGTTAAATGTAACGTGCTTTTGAGGGAAATATGTTTAAATTACAGTGTGAGAAACATAATTTTATTATTAATTATATCTGAGAAAATATGTCCACTAAGTTCCTGAATTATGCAAGAGGACGTGGAGATGCGTAAACATCTTTCCAAGTTATTAGTTTGCAGATTTCTAAGTCAGAGCAAGGTGGCATCTTAAAGACAGCCCAGCTACCTATAGCACTTGATCCTGGGATGGTAACAGCAGTCCTGGGAGAGGGGGCTTTGCTGAATCTTGTTCAACAAAGCAAGGAGCTCCAAAAAGATGAAACGGCCCTGACATTCAGTATTGTTTCAGTGGAAATTGACCCGAAGCAGGATGCCCTGGTAAAGAGCAATAAACCTGTTACCATCATGTGGCAATGAAATTCTGAGCAGCCCACTCACTCTCCAGCCTGTCTGGCATTGCTTTCAGAACATCCCCATGACCTGCCCTCCATTTGTTCGTGTGCAATAGGAATACCTGGGACAAATGGCTGTAGACAAAAGAACTGCAGAGGGTATATGTGTATTGTATGCAGAGATGGAAAAGTTAGACACCATGGTAGACAGGAAAATGTCAGCAAAGGGAAGAACTGGAATCTTCCCTTTGTGGGTATGTGGTGTATGTGCCCACCCTAAGGCACACATAGCCGTAGGAGAAAATGGGGGAGAAAGTTCATTTTCTCTTAGAACTTGAATAACAATTCTTAAACAGGAAATTATTGGAGAATGCATATTATCGCTTTAGTCATGACCCTTGAGATTCTTTTCTTTACTGTATTCGTTTAAAACATGTATCATCAAAACATACAGAATCTTTTTCATCACAGCTTATGCCTTTATTGTTTAAATCATTGAAATCCTAGGGTTAGGATTTGAACAGTTAAAACTTTGAACAGTTAAAATTTCCCTGGATGAGTTGATGCTAAAATATTTTCAGTTTGTTTCATGGTTCTCCATTAATGCCAAGTAATATAAGCAATAATTATTTTGCAGTCTTGGGTATTAAGTGTTTGACTATTGTTCTTTCTTTTGTTTTTAAAGATACTGTTTTCCCTTTGGACGACCTGAAGGTGCTCTAAAAGCTACACTTTCATTACTTGAAAGGGTATGTTTGAACATTACTTTATAAATACTATTTGCATTCTCAGTTGCTGTGTACTTTAGTTATTGAACTAGGGAGACAGAACCCATTAGCCTATACTCTACTGATTCCATCATATTTCATGGTTTCTCACCTTTTCTTACTATATTCAGATTCTGTCTGTAGCACTTCTTTCTCCCTTAAGCCTTTCTGAAGCCTGAAGCCTTTCTGAACAGTGCCATCCTATCTTCAAATTATGGCATGTTTTGGTAGTATTAATTTTTCCTACCTCTTTATTTCCATCATGAAATATTCTTTTTTCTTGCTTTTTGGACTTCACAGTTGTCTTTCATTATCCTCCAACTTTATTTATACTTCTAGTACCTGTCATAGTCCTCATGCCAACAAGTTTATCATTTACCATTCACAAACATATCATTTCTTTCATTCAGCATTCATCTCAGAATTTCTATTACTCCAATGTGTGTGTTACCTTGAATTAATTTACACATTATAGAAATCTCTTTCTCCCCTCCAAAATAACCAGCAAACAAGATTTTAAATCCAGGTGGAAAAGTCATTTTTTAAAGAAAATATATTCTCTATTTCTATTTTTATCACAATTGAGGTTTGAAAGAGCAGTATTTTTTCATCTGCCTATAAATTTATTAGTATACTTGTTAGATGTTAACAGTTAATGTCGTCAACTCCTATTTCTTACCAGAATTAAAACAAATTTCTAGACTCATCTGTAGCTCATAATTTGATTATCATGATCCTGATTTATTGACTTCTAGCACTTGCTCTTGTCCACTTTCTGCCGAATTAATTTTAGATACTATATTGTTTATTAGCATCTCTTTTAAAAAGCAAAGAGAGAAGACATTATTCAAATATTACATCTCCATTTCAGTGTTTTAAGAACTTGGGAGATGAGGGCTAGGACTGATGATTAAAATGAGATCTTAGGATTACAGATTTATTTTACTTTTATATCCCTGTCTTATCCCTGATTATTGTGCATTGTGTGATAGAAATATGATTGTAGTAATTACGTTTTATTGGAATTTTTATAATACTGAAAGCTGCACATAACTCAGATTTTTCAAAGTGTTTCTGTCATCCTATTCATTAAGGTATTATGGATAAAATAAAATATTTAAGTATTGATTTATTTTTTGGAACAACATCCCATCGTGGGTACCTATTACAGCTTCTCTGTGTCATGGTTTCCATGGCAGAGCCTCCTTTCTCCCCCCAGCAGGGAAGACTTACTAATAGCAGAGATGCCCTCGTGCCCTGCATTGACAGGTGGCAGGATGAACAGGGACCTTTATTCCAGTTAGTCACTAATCACATCTCCTGCCGAATTGAGACAGAAATGTTAAGGACCATTCCTTCATTTTTATGTCTCTTTACTCACTGATATAGAAAAGTAAAACAAAATATGTATGTGAATTCTTGAAACCTATGATACCTTGGAAGAACAAGGGAGGCAGCCTAAAATCAAGGTTGGCATTTCCCTTTTTACATTTGCTAGCCCTTTACCTGACTTTGCCAGAAAGTAAGTTTCTGGTTCCCAGATAATATGAAATTTTACCTGGGAGACATATATGCATTCTAATTTTAACAACCATTTTTGTTACATAAACTTTGTCACCATGGGAAGTATAATAGTAATGTTCGTGGTTCTACATATGAAACAAAATTAATATTAAAGTTTAGTAATAATCACATTTAATGGTGCATGTATGTTTTTTACTATGCACAAAAGAATTTTTCTGGCTGCAAAGCCTAATGTGCAGTTTTAATTAAAGAATAACTGAATTTGATAGAGAAGGAATTTTTTTTAATGATAAAGCTTGCTATTTTAAAAAAAGAAAATCTTGCCTAACAAAATATTTAAAGTATTGTAAATGAGTAGCCTTTAAAAACTGTTATCAAAGGTCACTGATATTTAGATGATTGAATAAGTCAGGGATGATAACGTCCTTAGCGCTGAGGCTGAGTTAAAGGAGAATGAAATAATACAGCATGAAATGGATGTTTTCATGTTCTTTCAGTACTCCTTTCAATATAAAAGACATAGAGCACTTACAAAAGCATTGTCTTCTCTAGATTAACATTCTGCAATATATTTTGTATTTTAAATAAAAGCAAAGCAAGAAAAAATAAATATGCAGAAAATAGTTTTACTAATAGTGTAATTAAAACTTAATGTGAGCAATTTTATTACTATGAAGGTTTTAAAGAAAATTATCTATGAGTTAGTGTAACAATGTTTATAAATACATTTTGAATCCTGGACATAATTGTATTTTTCCCTTGCCCAATACTAAAACTTTAAAAAAAAAAAAAAGTCTGAAAACACATTTTAGGAGCCCAACAGAGAATAATCAATTTTTTCAAAACCATAGAAAGTTTTTATGTATTTTAACATTTGATACTCCATCAGCATTTATTTCACTAAAGCAAAGAGGTTTTCTTCTCCCTCTTTGATAGCCTGCCTTGGTATTTCAGCAAATCACAGTCATTAAAGTTTAGTGAGATTAGTTAGAGGTCTTGATTTTTTTTTCAGAGTTCAAAGATTATGCTTATTCTTAACAGAATTTTTATTATTGTTCTCGAATATATTGCTCAAAAGATTCAAGGCTTTTAAATTAGAGATGTCCAAAACAAACTTTATTTTTTGTTCCAAGAAATGTAATCTTGATCTGAAACAGCTGCTCTAATGGTGTCGTAGGTCCCTGGAAGAAAAGTGGCAGTCACTCTGAATGATGACCTGGTCTAGGGGAGGTTTTGATATGCATAAATTAGGCTTAGGAGGAGCTAAGGTTGGAGCACTACATCCCCAGTTATGAAGTGCAGTGCAGACCCATTACTCCCCACCACGATACCTAGGACCCCTCTCCCCTTCCTAGTAATAGTCAGATCGAGGACAATTTGTGTAATTTGTCTTTAGTATTTATTTTATGCAACATCTATCTTCTTTCTTTTGTCTGTCTGTCTGTCTGCCCCCCTCACCCTTTCACTTCCCCTCTCGGTAGGTTTTAATGAAAGATATTGCCACTCCCATACCAGCAGAAGAGGTGAAGAAAGTGGTCAGAAAATGTCTCGAGAAAGCTGCCTTGATCAATTACACTAGACTCACAGAATATGCCAAAATAGAAGGTCAGTGCAGTGAGCAATTGTGGAAGTGGCAGTGAGAGCCAACAATGCCTATTAACTGAATTTTCTATGAGAAGTCCTTTCCTTTCCTGAACAATCCTGTGCCATGGCAAAGGGAAATGTCTCATTAAAATCTCAGCTGGTGAACTGAAGAGCTTTTTCCTATTCATTGCTTTAATATGCCTCCTGGGACTCTGCTTGAATGAAAGACCCAGGATTCGTGCTTAAGTTGTCCTTTGTTCTTATTTTGAGTTTTCAAAAAACCAAAAGGTGTTTTCATGGGTTGCATTTTTTGGCATTACTGTAAGTATGTCTAACATTTAAACTATAGGCATCAGATTTTTTCCTGATCAGTAACAGTATAGTATTATGTAATTTTACTTTCTGTTCTGCAGTGTCACTCAAAAAGGAAGAAACTTGTTGATTATTGTGAGGGCTGAAATAAACTCATAGAACTTCCTTCGGGTTTTTAATTGCTTGCATTGTATTGATGCATTTGAAAGATTAGATCTCTTGAGAAAACTGTGCTTTTTGTTTTTCTTTCTTCAGGCTTTATTCATTAAGGATACTGATTTTTTTAAATGTTTAGAAATAAATAGATTGGATTTGTGGCAAAGTCACAAAATCAGCTTTTATACAACAGTTTTATCTAACAACATTAATTTATATCATTAAAAGTAACAGAAAGGCCTCAAGTTTTGTGCTCAAATTATCATAAAACTGGCTTACATAATAATACGTGAAGGATTAACTAGTATAGGGAAAACATTCTGCAGTTAATGTTACATACTTATCTGAAAATAAAAGTTTCTTACCTGAAAATAAAAGCAAGTCATCCTTTACAAAACTTTAGTAACTTTTGATATAAAATGATACTTAAGGATACACAAATTTATGAGGTAGTTGATATTAGGATAGTTTTACCAAAATTCAGATAGGGAAAAATATTGATAATTGTTTGTGTTATTATTCTTCTCTCCAAATATGGTCAAGCTTTCTAACAAGCATGCGATAACCAACCTCCTGAGTGATTAACAAAAAAGCCATCTCATCACTATAGCAACCAATATTATATCACAAGAGTAACAACATGAAACCTCCTTAGTTACCAGTTTAACTTCATTAATTATGATATCATGTTGTGTTAAAGCAAGAGCAGTGTACATTCGATCATTCGGGGAAAGTGGAAAATAAGCACATTGAGTTTCAGTCTTAAATACTTATTCAAATAATTTTCATGGTTTGGGAGTATTGAGTATTCTGATACAGATTGGAAGGGATGATGTTAAAATAGACATATTAAAGCCTTTCAAATCTGGCAAAGAGAAAAGTTGTGGGAACTTAAACAAACACTATTGTTTTATGTAAATGTTATGTACCCTACCCAAAAAAACCTGTAAGAATCATTTTGCTGTTAACTGAGTTAATATTTTTGTCTATTACCTTGTTCAAGGATACAGAAAAGATACATGCAGTATACTTTATGTTTGTATTTTATAGCCACAGAATTCATTTTAAGTGGATAGAAAACCTTTTTTTATTTGTACACATAAAAACAAGTCTGCGTTAGAGAAAAGCCTATGGTAGAGCCCGAAAGACAGTGAGCAGGAAACTCTCCTACCTATTTTCTTTTCTGAAGTCACTTCTCTCATATCTCTGGTCTAACGGAAAAATATTCTGGAAAATGGATCCTAGCAATCCACTCAGGTAGGAATGCCGAGCAGTCTTCTTTAAAAAACAGCAACAACAAAATGCTTGCACATTAGTTGAGAAAAACTTCTATGCTTTTTCATTATCTCTCTCCCTCTACGTTTTTCTTTAAAAAAAAAAAGTATTTTTGTTTTATTCTCAGGACCAGACCAAGAAGCAAATCAAACTTAAGTTAGAAAGAAAATGGCCTATTACATTATATGAGCAACAAGGGTAGAGTTTGCTTTTCTCCTAAATTCTCTTTTCTTATGTTTTAGGCCCAGCAGAAAAGGAAACAGGTAATTAATATTTTTGCATGCACAAGGCATTATTTCTCATGTGGTGGTGTGATATTTTTTAAAGCACTTTGTTGAGACATGATTGACAAGCTAGCTGTACATATTTAATGTACACAACTTGATGAGTTTGGAGGTAAATAACTGTGAAATGATCATTGTAATCTATACCAGAAACCTGTTCATCACCTACAAAAGTTTCTTCCTGCCTTCTTTATTTATTATTATTAATATTTTATGATAAAAATATTTAACATAAGAGCTACCCTCTTGCAATTTCTTAAAGTGTACTATATTGTTAACTATCGGCATTCTGCTGTGTAGTAGGTCCCTAGGACTTATTTATCTTGTATAACTGAGACTTTGTGTCCTGTAAATAATACCACTTCATGTTCTCTTCTCCCAGCCCTTGGTAGTCACTGGTCTACTCTCTGCTTCTATGAGTTTGACTCTTTTATGTTTCTCATATAAGTGGTATCATCATATATTATTATATACTGTGACTGGCTTATTTTACTACTAAGCCAGAAATTCCTTCTTTCCTAAGGCTGATAATTTTCTTGTGTGTGTGTGTGTGTGTGTGTGTGTGTGTACTGCATTTTCTTCTTGCATTAATCTCTCAGTGAACATTTAGATTGCTTTCATGTCTTGCTTATTGTGAATAATGCTGCAATGAGCATGAGAGAGCAGATATCTCTTTGAGATCCTGATTTCAATTTTTTTGGATGTATATAAAGCATTGCTGAATCCTTTGGAGTTCTATATTTTATTTTTTCAGAAACCTCCATACTATTCTCCATAGTGGCTGCACCTAATTATATTACCACCAGTAGTATACAAGAGTTCTTTTTTCTCTACATCCTTGCCAGTACTTGCTATCTCTTGTTTTGTTTTTGTTTTAAATAATAGTCATCCTAACAGGTATAAGATGATATCTCATTGTGGTTTTGATTTGCATTTCCCTGAAGAATAGTGATGTTGAGCACCTTTTCATATACATGTTGGCCATTTGTATGTCTTTTGAACAATGTCTATTCAGTTTTGTTTGTTTTTTTGTTTGTTGTTTTTTTTTTTCATTTTTAAGTTGGGCTTTTTGGGTTTCTGCTATTGAGTTATAGGAGTTACTTAGATAGTTTGGATATTAACCCTTTCTAAAATGTACAGTGTGCAAATATTTCCTTCCAGTCTGTAGATTGTCTTTTTATTTTGCTGTTTCTGTTGCTGTTGTTGGTGTGATGTTTTGTCACTGATGAATAGCTCTCTTTTTCTCAGGGCTTCTATTAGATCAGTTTGATTAGGAATACTGAAAATGCTTTGATTTTATCAGAACTGTTGCTAGTGCCTTGTAGGGAAAGTATAGGCCATTCATCTCTAAAAGTTCAGCAATATTTTTTATATAAATTTAAAGCAAAAAAAACCTGAGGCTATATGAATAGTATACATTATGTTTTAAGCATATCCACTAATCTTATTTGGAAGCTGTCACCGATATTTGAAGGGCTCTTACAACAAGAAAAGAGGACCATCTTCCTTTATCACTCTTGAAAATAACAGAATAAAAAGCATAAATGCTATTAAATAAAAAGTAAGCAGTTATTAACTTTAAAAGTTGTTAATCACAGGAATGAACAGAGGTTATGAAATCCCATTTGGAAATTGCTAGGAAAGAGTTCCCTGAGTTGCTGAAATTTTTAATGTTCTATTTTTTTTTTTGCACCCCTTATCACAATTACTAATTTAACTGCACCTGCCTGTTATTGTCTGTTTCTCCTCTCTATCCCCTCTTCAGCCCCGTGCAGGCAGGGTCCTTACTGATTTGTTCACTGTTGTATTCTTGACACCCACTGCTGTGCTTGCTGACACAAAAGTAGGCACTCTGGACTTTGGAGAGAGGTAGGAGATTAGCTAGTTCCATCCGAAAACAGTGCAACGAGAGACAAATGGTAAAACTTCCAAATCCTAGCATTCTAATTTTGGTCAAATTTTGTGTGCAATGTTAAAAGCAAGTTTACGTGGATTGTTTTTGACTGAAGTCTTCCATTAAGGGCTTTATTTCTTTTTTCTTTTCTTTTTTTTTTTGTGTGTGTGTGTCTTACCTTTTTCAGTATTTGACCCTAGAAAGTGACAGGAACAAAACACTCAGAGCCATGAAGAGGAGAAAGAACATACCTACAATGATTGCTAAGTGCACTTTAGAGAAAAATGAATTAGAAAAAAATACGGGACTGATTATCCCCTCTTATGACAGTACATTGTAATAGCAGTAGTCCCATGCTCTTTAGCAAACTTTTTCTAAACCTCTTAAGGCATTTTATCCCCCACATTCCTGTTGCAAAAACAGCTTTCATCCTAGTTTACACACAAGAAATTTAGGGTTGTTCACGGCTTTCTCACTGCCATGGAGTAAATAACTCAGCCAGCTGGAACTAGACTTAGGTAGTCCCTAACCTGCAAAAGCTATGCTTCTTCCCCTAGGAGATATGAAAGGATCAGAGTATGCCTTCTTGAAGCCTGGGGCAGAGGCACTGTGTAGAGTTGCGTGACCTCCTTAAAAAGAAGAGAGAAGAGGAGGGAGTTGTCCCCTGTGTACCTTGCTTCCATCAGACAGAAATCTGCTCCTCATAGTGACTTATCAGTCCATACCACTGGTCAACTGTACAGGTCACAACTCCAGGAAAAATACTTTTATTAAAATTAAATGCTTGTTTAGAAAAGAGAAAAATCAGCCAGGTATAGTGGCTCAGATGTGTAATTCCAGCACTTTGGGAAGCCAAGGCGGGTGGATCACCTGAGGTCAGGGGTTCCAGACCAGCCTGACCAACATGGTGAAACCCTGTCTCTACTAAAAATACAAAATTATCTGAGAGTAGGGGTCCATGCCTCCAATCCTAGCTACTTGGGAGCCTGAGGCAGGAGAATTGCTTGAACCTGGGAGGCAGAAGTTGCAGTGAGCCGAGATCATGCCATTGCACTCCAGCCTGGACAACAAGAGCTAATCTCCATCTCAAAAAAAAAAAAAAAAAAATCAGTGTACATTTATGTAATTTAAATTGATTGAAGGGAAATCTAATCTTAATTTATGCATGTTCTGAAGTAACAGAAGAGGGGGTTTTTAGAAATGTTGTTATATTTCAGGGTGGGCATGGTGGCTCATACCTTTCATCTCAGAACTTTGAGAGGCTGAGGCAGGAGGATCACTTGAGCCCAGGAGTTCAAGACCAGCTTGGGAAACAGACCTGATCTCCACACACAGACACACACACACACACATGCACGCGCTCTCTCTCTCTCTCTCCCTCTCTCTCTCTCTCAGTATTAGCGATCTCACTGCAACTTCCTGCCTCAGCCTCCTGAGTAGCTAGGACTATAGGTACATGGTACTGTCAAGATCTCCTGCTTGAACTCAGGAGTTTAAGGCTGCAGTGAGCCGTGATAATGTGGCTGCACTCCAGCTTGGGTGACAGAATGAGACCCTGTCTCAAAAAAAAAGTTACATTACGGTATTAGCGTTTGGCAGCAGGTTAACCTAGCAGGGTTACCTTGTAAGTGTTCTTGGTGGGAAGATGCTTTTAAAAGTGGGTAAGAATGAAAACATCAGTTGCATGTGAAAAAACTCAAATGGCTTGATAATACTTTAACACAGTAGTTTCTTGAGCATTCTAATAATTTTCCTCAGTTTATACTCTCTGGAATAGAGTCAAGCTTTACCCAAAATTTATCGTAATTTCGTCATCTACTGACTGCCTATATGTCCCAGAAGTTTGGTTTTCTTTTTTTCTTTTTTTTTTTTTGAGACAGATTCTCACCTTTTTGCCCAGGCTGGAGTGCAGTGGCATGATCTCGACTCACTGCATCTTCCACCTCCCAGATTCAAGTGATTGTCCTGGCTCAGCCTTCCAAGTAGCTGTGATTACAGGTGTCTGCCACCATGCCCGGCTAATTTTTTTGTATTTATAGTAGAGATGAGGTTTCACCATGTTGGCCAGGCTGACCTCAGGTGATCCACCCGCCTCAGCCTCCAAAAATGCTGGGATTGCAAGTGTGAGCCATGGCACCTGGCCTGTCCCAGAAGCTTTCTATTTATACTGCTTCATTTGTTCCTTAAATAGCTCTACAAAATAGGTATTTTGTGGAGAGGTCACTGAGACTTTTGGGGAAAAGAAGCATTAACCTGTACAAGATCTTGCTGTTGCCATTAAAACTGAACAGACATGAGATTCATACTTACTTTCTCTCAGATACCAGAGCCCTCTTCACATTCTTTTCACTGGCTGCCATGCCTCCAAGACTGGTTCAAAGTAATGGCATTTTATGATAAACACCTCAGCTGCATCACAAAAGCCAAGGGTTAATATGAATAAAAGCCACTCTTTCTAAAAATAATCATAATTATTTAGTAAAAAGAGAAAATGTTTACATACCAGGCACTACTTTTTTTTAATATTTCAAGTTCTGGGGTACCTGTGCAGAATGTGCAGGCTGGTTACATAGGTATACACATACTATGGTGGTTTACTGCTTCCTTCACCCCGTCATCTACATTAGGTATTCCTCCCAATGCTGTCACTCCCCTATCCCGCCATCCCCTGCCATCCCTTCCATAGTCTCCCAACCCCAAATAGGCCCTGGTATGTGATATTCCCCTCCCTGTGTCCATGTGTTCTCATTGTTCAACACCCAGTTATGAGTGAAAACATGCAGTGTTTGGTTTTCTGTTGTGTCAGGTTGCTGAGAATGATGGTTTCCAACTTTATCCATGTTCCTACAAAGGGCATGAAATCAGCCTTTTTATGGCTGCATAGTATTCCATTGTGTATATGTGCCACATATTTTTTATCTAGTCTATCATTGATGGACATTTGGGTTGATTCCAAGTCTTTGCTGTTGTGAAGAGTGCTGCAATAAACATACATGTGCATGTGTCTTTATAATAGAATGATTTATAATCCTTTGGGTATATACCCATCAATGGGATTGTTGGGTTAAATGGTATTTCTATTTCT